TTCGAATGACAACTTTTCGAATGACAACTTTTCGAATGACAACTTTTCGAATGACAACTTTTCGAATGACAACTTTTCGAATGACAACTTTTCGAATGACAACTTTTCGAATGACAACTTTTCGAATGACAACTTTTCGAATGACAACTTTTCGAATGACAACTTTTCGAATGACAACTTTTCGAATGACAACTTTTCGAATGACAACTTTTCGAATGACAACTTTTCGAATGACAACTTTTCGAATGACAACTTTTCGAATGACAACTTTTCGAATGACAACTTTTCGAATGACAACTTTTCGAATGACAACTTTTCGAATGACAACTTTTCGAATGACAACTTTTCGAATGACAACTTTTCGAATGACAACTTTTCGAATGACAACTTTTCGAATGACAACTTTTCGAATGACAACTTTTCGAATGACAACTTTTCGAATGACAACAACATTTACAAAGTTTTTTGTGATCCACTCGAACCTCGAAGAGAAACCAGTGTCCAAATTGTCTCCCTTTGTGGTAGCCAAGGTGCTAGAAAACCTCATCGGGTTCTCATACAAAGCAAAAAAAACTCCACTCCGGCGACCTTCTCGTTGTAGTGAACACGAAATACAAAGTTAGGCACTCTCTAAGGTGACCAGCATAGTCGATGTCGAAGTGTCCACAAGTCCTCACCGGACGCTCAACACGATCCGTGGAGTCCTTTCTGAAGACGACTTCCTCGACGCTAGCGAGGAAGAAATCCTGGAAGGACTGAAAGATGCCAGTGTTGTTGCCGTTAAACGTATTATGTTCCGGAAGGATGGCAAGGAAACCTAATGAAAGCACGTGATCTTGATTTTTGAGAGACACACCCTCCCTGAAACTGTGAAGGCAGGCTATCTCCAGTGTCGCATCCGTCCCTATGTACCCAACCCGCAACGGCGCTTTCGCTGCCAACGCTTTGGGAATGGGTCACGCAGTTGCCGTGGGAAAGAAACTTGTGCGAAATGTGAAAGCCAGGAACATGTTGCTGACATCCGCGAGGCAGCGGCCCGCTGTAGTAACTGCAGTGGGCCCCACCCAGCTTACTTCCGCACCTGTCCCCGTTGGCGTCAAGAAAAGGAAATTTTTTTCCTAAAGGCAAAGGAGAATATCACCAACTCGGAGGCTAAGAAGAAGAAGCTGTTGTTCCTCTCAAAGGGAGGTTACGCCGAGGTGGTGCGCAGGGGCCCTGCACCACGCTTGGAGACTAAGGCCACCCAGGTTTCTCATGAGATCTTGGCGGCTGACCTAAGGGCCCCACCCCCTCAACAGGAGCAGTATGCTGCTCCCCTGGGCAAAGGTGGGCCGGCAATAGCCGCGCCCGCTCTACCCTTCAAGACTGTGGCGCAGGGTCAGCAGGCTTCCTCTTCTCGCGTAGAGGGCGCTTTAGCTGCTATCTCTGCTCAGGACAGGGCAGCACCGGCTGCAGCTATCAGCACTGGCAGCTCTCCTAAGGAGGAGAAGAAGCGAGGCCCTCGGCCTCAGTCCCTGGAGAGGCAGCCAGCAACCAAGGAGCTGCGTGGCTCGCATGCAGGTTCCTTGTCGGGAAAAGAAATGGAACAGAGGAACGGGGCAGAACCCCTTTCCAGTACATCAACCACCTTTCCACCTAGTTCTGGTCGTGGCCGCGGCTTGGGGCCCCGCGACACACTCTCCCGGGCCAGCGGGCCGGTCTGCCTGCGGGGCTCAGGAGAACACTGGCGCTACCTTTTCTGCCCCCTCATGGACTTCGGGTTCTGACCAAGACAAGATGGAGTGGCAAACTACGAAGAAACAAAAATAAAAAAAAAAACTTTTAACTCCTCCGAAGTGAGGCAACTGACTCACATTTTCATGTTCCTTGGTTTTTGACCCTAAAATGGCTTCAGTAGTCATACAATGGAACTGTCGTGGCCTTCTAAGAAACATGGATAATGTAGCAGGGATCTCAAACTGAAAAGCCTGAAACTGAAAACTCACAAGTCTCTCAATATCCTTAAAGTTGTCTCTCACCGGTCTTGGGGCTCGGATCGATTGTGCCTCCTGCGGATCTATCGCTCCTTGGTACGCTCCCGACTAGACTATGGCTGCTTTGTTTATGGGTCTACCAGACAGTCTGTGCTCAAGATGTTGGATCCCATTCATCATATTGGGCTTTGTTTGGCTACAGGTGCATTTCGTACATCCCCTGTGCCCAGTTTATAAGCAGAGGCTAATAAGTGTTGCCTCGAAAGACGTAGATTCGCATTGGACATGATGTTCGCATCCTATCTGTCCTCCAGCACCCCACTCGAGAAGTTGTTCAAGAAACACGCTCGGAACGACTCTTGCTTGCAAAACCTAGCGTGATCTCTGCATTCAGTTTGCGATTGAAGGCCTTGACCGAGTCTGTCAGATTTGATGTGGCATCCCAGGTAGTCGAATTCCCTGGCATCACAGCACCTTGGAAGCACCCTGACATACACTGCAACCTGTCTCTTACACAGTATAACAAGAAAAGCACTCCAAGTGCTGTGCTTCTACAAGGATTTCATGAACTCGCTCAATTGTATAAAGAATATACAAAGTTCTATACAGATAGAACAAAATTTGAGACATTCGTTGGTTGCTCTGTCATTGGCTCTTCAGTGGAAGCTGTAAGGCGGATAAATGCTGCTGCTACCATTCTTACAGTGGAGCTGTATGGCCTCCTGTTGGCTACGGAACGCATAGCCCGCCACAGGATACCCCTGGCAGTGGTTTTCACTGACTCTCTCAGTGCCTTGCGAGCCATCTCTTCACTGCTGCCTACAATGACCTCCCGTGTTGTTGAAGTTCAGAAGAGAATTATTGTGGCAGCCAGAAAGCACTGCACAATTGTCTTTTGTGGGATTCCCAGCCATGTTGGTATCCCAAGCCATGAGGCGGCCGACCGTGCTGCCCGCACATGCGTCAGCAGAGAGGTAGATATTAAAAGGATACCTTACATGGACTGTCGCCCTTCTGTTAGGTCTCGCATACGAGCACAATGGCAAGCCGAGTGGAATGAGGACATCTACAAGAAGCTGCATCTCATTAAGCCAAACCAGGGTGAATGGGCGAGCGCTCCGGTTTTATGAAGTAATACTGTGTCGTTTGCGCATTGGCCACATGCATCTTACTTATGGCTACCTGCTCCGTTGGGAGGATGCCCCTTTGTGTGAACAGTGTAAAAAACCTCTGTGTTCTCCATTTTCTAATTGAGTGCCCTTTCTATGAACGGGAACGCCAATCTCACTTTGCACAGCTATACAGAAAGCACATTCCCTTACACCCAATGCTGTTATTGGGCGATGAACCATTCGTGACTTACAAGCAGGTTTTGAAGTTTTTAGATGCTATTGGTCTTCTACATCGACTGTGTACTTCAAAGCTTTTCACTCATGCCCATTTTTGTTTGTGACATTATCCGGTTCATGTCTCATTCCATTATTTTAACCCTGACCGCTACAGTCCTTTCTTCTCGCTTACCCTCAATGCAATAGTTCCCTTCTTTGGCGATCTTTGGCCTTAGCAGCCTTTGCGCCATAAAAATCCAATCCAATCCAACCCCTACGGATTGAGGCACAACGGGCGCGTGCTGAAGTACGGCTTCAAAGCGACGGTACGAGCTCCTGTTCGCGCTCGTGAGGATCCTAGCGATGGCAAAAATTTAAAACGAAAACTTTTAAAACAATGTTTATCTTGGCGTGTGAGGGGAAGGAAGACGAATGCGTGATCTTGGTGTTCAAGGGTGAAAGATCGAAAAGAAGGAACAATGAAAAGGCTCTCTAGGACTTTCTTACGGAATATTCAACGAGTTACCTATGAAAAGGTTGCCCCTTTCGACGAGTTCACCTTTCTGCAAATAGACCTGTAGGGTGAGATGGCCTTCGACGAGTCGACCTTTGAAAAATTGACTTTCGACGAGTTGTGCTGATAACTTGAAGGCTAATGGGGCGGTGCAACTATATTCAATAGGAATGTTTTTTTGTTTTTTTTTCACTTTACACGAGCATACTGGCACTAGTGCTACCCAAGCGTACTTTCACGCAACGCCACTGACCAAGAAACTCCCTCGTAGTGTAATTTCTAGGAGAAAAGAGATCGCTTTCTTTCAATCTCTCCTTTACAAAACTTGTTGACGTAGCGTTGACGCAGTGTCGGCATAGTACCTCCAGTGGCGATGTTTGAATGCTGCTCGTAGACTGGACCCGAGCAATGCGTGCGCGCTCAATTTGGGCTCGTGATAATCGATAGCTCGACAAACATTCGGGTAGTGGCTCCTGTCCAATCGCTGCAATGACGACAATAGCCGAACCATAACACAATGTCTGCAGCTCAGCGCGTGTCCTGTGCTTTGCCAACCCCCAAGCGCGTGAAATGATCAACGCTGGCTTCAACTCCAGATCACGTGGCCGCTTGTTCTGGCTTCAAATTGAAAGAATAAACGCTGCTCTCCTTTTGATTTTTTTTGAGATTTTGATTGCGTGTGGTGAAAAACAAGCGGTATTTGCGCAAAGTACAAAAATTATTGCATTGTCCTTTTAAGGGTCCCAAGTTATCAGCTGTACCTCACTGACCAAATGTTTACCAACACCGGAAATATGAAACTCTTTTGCGCGTAGACTTCGACAAAGCATGCTTGTGGCCTGTGTTTTATAAGCTCCTAAACTTTATTGCGCCCAGAGGACATATTGGCAAAGTCTATTGGGTAGACGTGGAACACTTGGAATTCGTACATATCTATTTATATATATGTTTGTATTTTTTTGGCTTGATAAACTTTGGAATTATTACAAACTATTATTTCTTGAATATAGCCCCTGCACTTGATCTCGCAAAGCCCGAAAAACATGCAGTTTCAGGGTCACCTCATCAGTAGCGCAAGTGTTGGAGTGCGTTTCTTCGTCGCAACGATAACGATAACTCGGTCGTAAGCGAACGCGAGTTTGTGAACCTGCCTTAGTTCGTTGCTTTCTGTCCTCTTTCCCTCAGGTTGTACGTGGTGAAGCACGCGACCAATGCGCTCTTCGTCTTCGCCGCCTGGAAGCTACTGGACCTTGGCTCCAACGCGTGGCGGCTCTGGGAGTTCGCCGTGGACTCGATGGCTCCCATCAGCTCGATCACCGGATGACGTAGTGGCGGGTCCCGTCCAGCCTCGCTGCCCACCCGGGTTTTAACGCCTAGGAGCCCAGGGGTCCGGAACCTCGGTGCGGTAACCTCGAGCGCCGCCCCACACACCCCCTCCATGGGCCCGGGTCCCTTCATCAAAGCTCCCCCCTCCTCCCCTCCTTTCTTCCGACCCTCTGGCTGCCCAAAGCAGACGGGTTCCATCTTGTTCATAGTATACGTGTATGTATTGACTGGTGCACCTTCTGTCCTTGCCGAGCGCTCCTCGCTGTGCTCTTTTAGCTAATTAAACAAGAACATGAAGCAAAACGGACGCTGCTGTTCTGGTTGAGGTACTCTTCCTCACCCCGAGCTGCGCAGAAGACTGACCTTGGAAGATGCATCGGCATGCTTCTCTTCTGTGTGCTCTGTCTAGGACGGTGCGACCGACGCGCGAGGACTATAAAGTGTTCTCCAAGACGGCTTTCTGTTTCTTTTTTTTTTTATCTTTTTCTCTATGGGACAAACTGCCTATGCAGGTTGCTTAGTATCTTTGTTTTTGTTCTTCCGTGACTAGTGTCGGCTTGCATGTTTTTTCTCTCCCTTTTCTTTTCTTCTGATGATGATCAAATGGAACTGGGAGTAGTGCTCTCTTTATTGCCAGTGTTGCTGCGAATAAAGAAGCTGAATGGATTTGCACGAGTCGTAAGAATAAGATGTTTGACTTTCTCGAGCTTGATTGGATCTTGTCTAAGCAGACGTCGAGCAGTTCGAGAATAAAACCGCCGAGCAGTCGTATTCATCTCACTGTCGGAGTTTTTGAGTGTCCATCATATTACGCGCAGTTTCTCCCAGGTGACGCCACAAGTATGAGGGGCGATGTATGTATATTTCGAAACTTAACTCAAAGCTGGGCGTGCAAGGGGTGCAGCACGCAGAAAACTAAACTTGGAACGCTTTCAGACAAAGGTGAACGCACAAAATCCTAACCCAACGTTTTTTTTTGTTTGTTTTTTGTTTTTGTTTTGTTTATTTCTGACCTCTTCAGTAAATTACTCTGGTCACATGAAAGCTATTTACCATACTTTTTGTTTCTAGTCGCTTCACACCAGGGCAGTTTCTCCCGGCCATTTGAGCTTCATATCATGATCGACGATCATCTCTCCCCATATATGCTTAATCGCAAGACGTTTTATCCGAGTGTCATTTCCTACCACGAAGTTTTGTGAAAGAAGAGCTTTTTATAGTGTGCTTGAAATAACGAGGCTGGATTCAAAATGAACCGTAATACTCTGCGCCATCACGCAGCAATCTAAACTTTTCGTCAAAGGTGTATTTCCCAGCTATATTTTATGTTGTAAAATTACAAAACGTACCCCCCTCTTTTGTAAGAAACGGGGCAAAAAAGCTTGCCAGTGTCAATGGCGGATGGCGACGCGGACGACCAAGTCGAGTGTCGGGGCACGCTTGGCGCACGTCTTCGGTCGCATGATGTCATCGTTCGTGGGTCCCCGACCCTCCTCTCAAGCGGCAAACACGGTGAAGCTTTAAATAAAACCGCTGCGTGCTAACGTCGCGCCTCTGTGAGACGCTGCAAGACGCGCAGTCGACGATGCTGACGCTGGATATACGCGGCACTGCCTGGATCAACCAGTGATGGCGTACAGTCCTCCGCAATATGGAAGATCCACTGTATACAGTGGCTTAATGGGGTAGTGTAACGAACGAAACCAGAGAAACGGCACAGCGTTGGAAGACGGCCGCGGGTGGCGCTGGCGCTTGCAGCACCGAAGCTACGGCGGTGAGCGGACGTGTTTCCTGGTTCTCCTCGAGTATCCGAAGCTAAGTGCCAGTTTTTCTTCTTTTCTCTCTCTTTTTTTTTTTTTTTTTTTTTTTTTTGAGAGTTGATTGGAAGTGACTATGCGGTAACAGTATTAGGTTTGAACAGCAGCAGTTAACGTTAGTTTCGCAAAGTAGGCTCTGTTTGAATATTTGGCGGGAAGGGACGGTTTTTTCCCGGTCTAGACATGGGTCTAAATTTGGGTCGGCATGACAAGGGTGGGGACGGGTTGGTGCAGTGCGAGGGGTGTGGGAGGTGGTGTTACCTAGAGGAGAGACGGGTTTCGGGAGCCTGGAGGAGGCGGCGGGGATGAGTTTCGAGTGTCGGCTTTTTGTGAAGCTTCAGCAGGTAACGGGAATGGGAGGGTAGAGTTCGGGAGATTGAGGCCCAGCTTAAGGCAGAAGGAGAGAAGCGGGTGGGTCTCGAGGCCCAGGTAGAGGAGCTGACTAGGCAGCTTAATCATGAGAGGGAGCAGCGGGTCGGCCTCGAGAAGCAGGCGGAAGAGCTGGGGGAAGTATAGAAGGCGGGTTTAGAGGAGCGTAAGAGGGAGTGTGACAGTAAAGTAGAGCGCCTTGAAGGGGTAATTCGAGCGAGTGAGAGTAGCGAGGGAAGAAAGGATAAAGTGTCAGTTCTAGCGGGACGAACCACCAGTCTGCAGGCTGGGGTCCCTGGTGGTCGGGAGTCCGGCCTGTTGGCTGACGGGCTCGACGACGCTGGAGAGCTGATTGAACCTCAGCTCAATGGCGCCTTCGAGCAGCAGGCGTCGGGCAGTCAGGTGACAGAAGATAAGTCGCAGGACAAAGGCGTGCAGGCACCAGGGGGATCTAGGGTACTGGTAGTGGGGAGCTCTAACGTAGCACGGGTTAGGAGGGGTGTACATAACAGGGTGAAGGGAGACCAGAGGGCAACCGTAGAGGTCCAGCCAGGGAAGTGTATGATGGATGCTATGACCGCAGCACTTGAGGGGGTGTGGGATGACCGGGAGGGAAGGAACCTAGTAATAGTTCATGCGGGGCTTAATGATGTGCTCAAGGGTAGGAGACAGAACCTCGGAAAGCAGCTAAACGTGGGAATGCGTAAGCTGAGGGACGTGTCTGAGAATGTGCATGTGGTTGTGTGCACCATTCCAGAAGTTCGGGAGCAGTCCGGGTTAACGGAGAAGAGGGTTGTCGAAGTCAACGGAGTAATTAAGGGTATGAGTCGACAGCTTCGGTACGACATAATGGAAGTAAACAGAGAAGTGTACGAGGCTGGCTCCCGCCCTTTTGCAGATGACATTCACTACAGTGAGGCCACGGGTTACAGGGTGGGGGATAGGATGGGCCGCACGGTGACTGCTTTTTTGAGGGGACTGAGGGCCCTGGGGGGCACTGAAGTAACTGAAAACCCAACAAAGCCAGGAGAGGCACCCAGGGTTAAAAAGAGGAGAAAACGTAAGAACAGGTATAAACAAACAGCACAATCAGACATTGGATATATTAACATGCAGGGTGGTAGAAATAGGTTAAAATGGGAAGAGGTAGAGGAGCAACTAAGAAAGGAGGATTTAATGGTGCATGGGTTTGTGGAGACACACCTTAGAGACATTGAGCAGCCACCTTGCAACCCTGACTATGTGTGGGAAGAATGCAACAGAATGGTGGGAACAAGGAAAGGAGGTGGAATTGGAGCATTTATTAAGAAGAATATGAACTTTCAAAGGATCAGAAAGGAGTGCGGCGAACATTTGTGGCTGAAAGGAAAAGTCGCTGGGGAATCAACAGTCCTTGGAGTTGTTTACTTATGGACAGGGACAGGTGCTAAAGAGGAAAACAGAAAAATGATTGATTGCATATCAAGAGACATTAGTGAACTAGGGGAAGGCTCCGAAATAATTATTATGGGAGACATGAATGCCCATATAGAGGGTCTGGATGGGTATACGGACTCAACTGGAAGCATATTACTAGAACTGGCGGAAAAACATGACTTAGTTTTATGTAATACCAGTCAAAAGTGTGACGGGCACATAACTTGGGAAACTGGCAATCTACATTCAACTATAGATTACGTACTCATGTCACACAAAATATATGGCAAGTTACAAGTAATGAAAATAGATGAAGGTTCCAAAAGTCTTGGTAGTAATCACAAACGTATTAAGCTGAATTTTGCCAGAGAAGTAAATGCTGAAACTAGACAACATAATTCAAAGCAAACTTTCTGCAGCGACAAGGAGTTGGAAATAGTTGTTGAAAGAATAGAGGCAGCAGTTTTACGACAACGGTATACAGATTGGACCTATGAGAGCCTAACTAGGCTTTTTGCTCTAGAACTAGACAAAGTTCAGAGTAAACAAAAGGGGAAGCAAGGACATAGACCAGGGATGACCAGGCCTACTAGGCCTAAGAGCCGCAAACGGAATTACGAAACTTCTAAGAGCCACGGGGGGGGGGGGGGGGGGGGGGCGGGGCAAGTTTAAATTTTGTTCAGAGTTTGACTGTACGTATGAGTGCACAAGGCTGTACGACAGTACGTATGAGTGCACAAGGCTGTACGACAGTACGTATGGAGGTACAAGGCTGCCAAACCGCGAGCCGTACTTCATTCTGCCTGAAATTCCTTCTTTTTTTCCTGGGGAAATGCGGGAAGGGGGGAGGGGGGTCCCCTTACGAGGGATCCGCGAGCCGCACTTGGACCAGCAAAGAGCCGCATGCGGCTCGCGAGCCGCGGTTTGGCCACCCCTGACATAGACCAAAAAGCCGGTGGGACAAAGAAGTGAAGCAAGCGATACAAAAACGTCAGGAAGCCTCTAGAGAACACAGGTATTCCAAGCGTAGTGGGGAGTCCGAAACGGAAGTAAAAAGAAAATGGGACAACTTTATAACATGTCGCCAAGAGGCATCCAGTTTGATCAATGCGAAAATTCAGAGAAAGGGTGAGGAATGGATGAGTAATGTAAGCAAGAAAGATAGAAACGCTGCCAAGAAGTTTTGGGAGCACTTGAACTCACTCGGTGAAACGACGCAAGCTAGACAGAGGTTCATACTCTCGCATCGGGGAGATCAATTAGAGGGAGATGATGCGATACAATATATAGGAGCAGTGATGGAGGAGAAATTTCGTGAACGGGTACACGTGGAAGATAGGAGAACCGAAGGAAGTAGCAGTCCAGTTTGTGACATCGCGGATTTTGGAAAAGAAAATGGGAAAAGGCGGAACGAAGAGTCCCTAGTGGCACGTCGACAGGCACAGATGGTATCCCTATCAAGCTGGTGAAGAATTTGGGTCCTAAATCTAAGGCAAAACTAAGGGAGGTAGTGAGTACCGTGATAACAAAGGGAAATATTCCAGATGAATGGAGGCTTAGTAGGATGAGTATGATATGTAAGGGAAAGGGAGATAAGTCTGATATTAGGAATTATCGTCCAATAACCGTAACACCGGTTATTTACAGGTTGGTAATGCAGATTATAAAGAACAGACCGGAGGAATGGGTAGATTGCGAGGGCATACTGGGCGAGTTACAGAACGGGTTTCGGATACAAAGAAGGTTGGAGGACAATTTATTTTCTCTAACACAGTGTATAGAAATAGCGCAAAAAGAAAACAGACAGCTCTGGCTGGCATTTCTGGATATCAAGGGTGCCTATGACAATGTGAACCAAAGGAACCTAGCAAAATGGACAATTGGGCGAGTTGGTAAGAGTTCATAATTACTTACAGCTTGTCCTGTGTTTCTGTGTTTCTCCTCTCTCTGTCCTTGTCCCAGTCGCGCTGTAAGTAATTATGAACCAAAGGAACCTGTAAGACATAATGGAGAGCTTAAACCAAGATGAAGGACTAACAGCACTATTAAGGAACATTTAAAAGATAACAAGGTGATTATA